GATCACCTGAGGTCAGGAGTTCGAGACCAGCCCGGCCAACATGGTGATATCCCATCTCTACTAAAAATACAAAAATTAGCCAGGCATCGTGGCAGGAACCTGTAATCCCAGCTACTCGGGAGGCTGAGGCAGGAGAATCGCTTGAATCCGGGAGGCAAAGGTTGCAGTGAGCCGAGATCGTGCCATAGTGCTCCAGCCTGGGTGACAAGAGCAAGACTCCGTCTCCAGGTTCAGTGGGAGATGCCGCCCTCCAGCAGCTTACTCCCACAGGCACATCTCCTGCTGAGACCATAGCTTCTAGTCCATCCACTCCAAATTTTGAGTACCTGAATCCCTCTCGATTCACCTCTACAGGAGAACTTCAGATTGCCCAAAAATTATTTGAAAATATCTCACTTCATTCCCATAGGAGATGAACCTACTCACGGAAATACACATGACCAAGTAGCCTAAAGATTTAAAATTGAGGACCTGGGAAAGTACAAGTTGAAATCAGAGGTTGAGGATGGAGAGAAATACAGACTGCCCTTGGTTCTTAAGGGTCTTAGACAGGGGCTCTGAGCTTGTCGGTAACCCGAATGAAAAGCCACCTGCAGCTCTTATACCAGAATAAGAAAATATAAGGTTTCCTCCGAGACAGCGTACCTTTTCCCGGCACTTAGTTCTCACTGAAATTTCTCTATGAGCCTTCATTGACACTATGAATAATGCTCTCAACAGCATCCCTGCAACCAATGCAGGCACTGGCTTTGTAAGGCAGCTGCTTATACAGAACAAGGAACGTGGTGCATAGGACAGCTTAGGAAAAGCGATTCTGCAGAAGACCAAGTCATGTGAATTCCATAGAGCGTGTCATGGAAGGTTTGGCATTATCCCTGAAGAAAAGCCAAACTATCTGAACAAGCACTTTCCAAACTGAATCCTGAGATATTGTGTCCTGGGGGAATACAAGGACTCCGTAGACTAATACCTTTAGAAACTCTAAATTAAACGAAGATAAGATTAAAAACACAAACAGGACCTGGAGTCTTTGCTATAGTTCTGTGCCCTGAGATGCTCCCAGCAGACAGCGTTTCTAGAACTGACTTGGCCACAGAACTCCTTTGGGGCACGTGACCACTTATGAAAAAAACATAGCTCAGGAAATGCTGACCTGTCTTCTCTGTCATCTTGGGAAAGCCGCTTTAATTCACTGACTCTCTGTTTTCTCATTTGCAAAATGGGAATGATACTGGTAATGGTAACAGTATCAGCAGCTGACAGTTGTCGAGAGTTTTGGACAAAGTCTGTGTAGTTCCATCTTCAGAGACAGCCTTGAAAAGGAGAAGTTTTAGAACTGAAATCCTTTTTTTTTTAATTTTTTTTTTAATTTTAGATTCAGGAGTGCATGAGCAGGTTTGTTTTTTGTGTGGTTTTTTTTTTGTTTTTTTTTTTGTTTTTTTTTTGTTTTTTTTGAGACGGAGTCTCGCTCTGTCCCCCAGGCTGGAGTGCAGTGGCACAATCTCGGCTCACTGCAAGCTCCGCCTCCCGGGTTCATGCCATTCTCCTGCCTCAGTCTCCCGAGTAGCTGGGACTGCAGGCAACCGCCACCATGCCCAGCTAATTTTTTGTATTTTTAGTAGTAGAGATGGGGTGTCACTGTGTTACTCAGGATGGTCTCGATCTCCTGACCTCGTGATCTGCCCCCTCGGCCTCCCAAAGTGCTGGGATTACAGGCGTGAGCCACCGTGCCTGGCCAAGCAGGTTTGTTATGTAGGTAAATTCACATCACAAGTGTTTGTTCTACAGGTTATTTCATCACCCAGGTATTAAGCCTAGTATCCAATAGTCATTTTTTCTGATCCTCTCCCTCCTCTCACTCTCCACCCTCAAGCAGATTCCAGTATGTGCTGTTCCTGTCTTTGTGTCCATGTGTTCTCATCATTTAGCTCCCACTAATAAGTGAGAACATGCAGTATTTGGTTTTCTGTTCCTGCGTTAGTTTGCTAAGGATAATGACCTCCAGCTCCATCCATGTTCCTGCAAAGGACATGATCTCATTCTTTTTTATGGCTGCATAGTATTCCATGATGTATATGTACCACATTTTCTTTATCCAGTCTACCATTGATGGGCATTTAGGTTGAGTCTCTTTGCTATTGTGAACAGTGCTTCAGTAAACATCCCCGTGCATGTGTGTTTATGATAGAACGATTTATATTCCTTTGGTTATATACCCAGTAATAGGACTGCTGGGTTGAACGGTAGTTCTATTGTAACTCTTTGAGGAATCGCCACGCTGTTTTCCACAATGGTTGCACTAATTGCACTTCCACCAACAGTGTATGAATGTTCTCTTTTCTCCACAACCTCAGCAGCATCTGTAATTTTTCTGACTTTTTAATAGTAGCTAGCCATTCTGAGTGGTGTGAGATGGTATCTCACGGTGGTTTTGGTTTGCGTTAGAACTGATATCTTAGAGGCTGTCTGGGCCAATCTTTTCTTCCTCTCTCCTTATTAAAGATGAAGAAACAGTCCCAGAAAGATGGAGCGATTGTCCCAGAACCGTGATGGGGGCCCAGCTAGGTCATCTACTTCTGGAGCAGTGCCCTTTTCTGTGTCATGCTGACTGCGTGCTCTTTAAAACAGAAGCCAGTGAACAGAGTTTACATTCCTTCTCATGACTGAAGGTTATCATGATGAGCATCAGCCCTGGGTTTCGAGTGCACGACCACATTGAGGGTGGTGAAGTTGTGGAAGGCGGTCTGCCCACGCCAACAGGACCCTGCCTGCGAAATCCTTTTCACCCACTAGCCTGCTTGTGACCCTTTCTTTCTTCTCCCTCCTGCTCGACTCTCAGCCTGGACTTCATACATCACCAGGTCTGCCTCCGGGAGTTCCTAACTCCATCCGTTTGTGGCTTCTAATTGCCTACACCTGACACTCAATTTCACCTCAATCATTGTCATATGAGAGAAAGTGGCCTCCTCAAGAAGTCAGTCATGGCCGGGCACAGTGTCTCATGCCTGTAATCCCAGCCTTTTGGGAGGCCGAGGCGGGTGGATCACTTGAGGTCAGTAGTTCGAGACCAGCCCGGCCAACGTGGTGAAACCCCATCTCTACCAAAAACACAAAAATTGGCCGGGCATGGTCGCAGGTACCTGTAATCCCAGCCATTCAGGAGGCTGAGACACGAGAATCGCTTAAACCCAGGGAGCGGAGGTTGCGGTGAGCCTAGATCGCGCCACTGCACTCCAGCCTGAGTGACAGAGCAAGACTCTCATATCAAAAAAATAAATAACAATTTAAAAAGAAGTCAGTCACAGGAAAGCAATGGTGAACTCTTTAAAAGTGAATGCCTGGGATGCTCCGTCTTGGGACGGGGGAGGCCTCTGGGGGGCGGAGTTAACTCTGGGCTCCTTGCCTTTCTAGATCCAACAGTTTATCCAAGACCTGTCAGACATCTGGGCAGAGGTGAAAAAGAAGGAACAACAGCAAGTCCGGGTCTAAGGAAGCAGCCTGGTTCCAGGACATCCTAAGACAGAGGTCGTAAGAGAAGAAGTTGTGAACCTGCAGTCCAGTCAGTCCAGCTTGGGACCAACGCCCGCGGTGCCTTCCTGCTGAGGAACACCTGCTTATTTTCCCCCTTGGGCCTCACTCTATCCCTGAAAACAGTGAATGTTCTAAGAAGTTTGTTCTCAAGTTCTCTCTAGCCCTTTGGTAGTTTATTCATGGGGAAGAGTGTAGCGATGGGGGGACCCCTGCCACGAACACTCACTCTCAAAGCTGGTCACCCGGGCTGCCTGGGAATCAGAAACCACATCTTAGGCCTGGTGTCCCCTCAGCTTTGGGCTCACACACAGTCAGTGTGCAGGTGGGCAGCAAACCAGTAAGGTCAGTACAGAGGACTCTTCTGTCATCTACAACTTCAAATTTTTATTTTATTCTATTTATTTTATTTTATTTTATTTTGTGATGGAGTTTTGCTCTTGTTGCCCAGGCTGAAGGGCGAGGCACGATCTCAGCTCACTGCAACCCCTGCCTCCTGGGTTCAAGCGATTCTCCTGCCTTAGCCTCCCCAGTAGCTAGGATTATGGGCACCTACCACCAGGCCCAGCTAATTTTGTACTTTTAGTAGAGACAGGGTTTCACCATGTTGGTCAGGCAGGTCTTGAACTCCTGACCTCAGGTGATCCACCTGCCCTGGCCTCCCAAAGTGTTGGATTACAGGCGTGAGGTGTTTCTAATTTGGGTGCAAAGACCCACTTAAAACTACAAAGGCAGCTTCCCAGGTCAGAGCTGCAACAATGCTGAGTTGAGAACTCTTCCCTGACTTCAGGAGCAAGCTCTGCTCCCCTGCCCCACTGTGTGCGCTAAAACATGCAAGCCAGTGTCAGCAACACGAAGGAAGGAATAGCCCTAGTTACTGCCCTAGTTACTGGGCAGGTCACCAGTAACTAGGGAGGGATCACTCATGTGCCAAATGACAAGCTCAAGGCTCAGGAACGGGCTGGGATGATGGATTAAAACCAGCCAAACTCAACTCAGTCCAGGTCAATGTAAAGTCTCAAACTTAGGTTCAACGATTTTTAAATCAATAGCAAAAGCCAAGTCAGAGAGCCGCGGGGAAGTAACATTTATTCAACAGGGACTTTGTTTGTATCCGCCTCTTGAAAACCCAGTGAGGCATCGTTATCCTGACTCACAGAGCAGGATGCTTGCCTGGGAACACCGGCTACAGGACGACAGGGCCAGGACTCAACCTTGGGTCTGCTCTTCCTGAGCCTGGTCTCTCCCCCTCGCCAGTCTGCCTCCCAGAAGACAGAGGCCCTGTGCTTTTGTCCCTAAAGCAGGCTGAGGAGCAGACTCGAACAAGGCTCCGTGTCTCCTCCCTGGCCCTGTGATCCTACAGGGCCCTCAGACTGCCCGGATTCCTGTTGCCTCAGGGAAGGCACTGCTGCAGCTGTCCTGCTGGGATCGCTGCGTGGCCGCAGTAACCCCTCACCTTCACATACAACACCTTACAGCAGTGGTTCTCAGGCGTGGTCCCCGGACCAGAAGCGTCAGCATCACCGGGCAACTTTACCAGTTAAATTCTCAGGCCCCACTAAAGACCTGAGAACCAGAAACTCCAGGGGTGGGATCCAGCACTCTGGGTTTTAACAAGCCCTCTGGCCGGGC